CATGGCCCATTGAACTGAGTATAAAAAAAAAACTTTGTCTCTCTTTAGTTCTTTTGCTTTATTTTTACCTTTTTTCTTTACCATCTGATTCTTTCCATGGGTTCCAATTTTTTGGATCCCAGGAAGGGCTCTTTCCTATAGAACTAACTTGTATTCTTTTTTCCTTGTATCCTGACAATGGTAAGCAACAACACGATAGCATCTCTGTCTCATCCTTTCTTATAAGCAAGCAAATTCCCACTGGGGAGCCATCTTAGCTTTCTAAAAAAATCTAAACATAGCAGTGGCCACATGGCATCTGACAGCCTAGTAACTCTCTTGTCCCTTACATGCTACTCTCACACTGAGAAATTTACTCTAAACCTTTGCCCTTTTTAAAGGGTATCCCTATACTCATGCACCAGACTCCATTCATCAGGCAGGCATGCTACTGCGTACCATGCAAGAGGAAGACAGCTTCAAGATTTGTCCTGTGAACTCCCTACCTAGACGGTCCCTTTAGGTAGAGGACTTAGTCTTGGTTGCATGTCTCAGGACCATGTATAGAGGCCATGCAATTGCTGACATAGCAATAAGGCACACTATCCCATACCACATAGGATAAGGTAACCATATTGGGATTCCCCCAGTGGATGTTCCACCCTATCTGACTGTTCAGCCTCAGTTGTCTGCCCTGCTACCCATAACCAGGACTATGCAATTACTCCCAAACTCATCTTTGGTGCTCTTGGTCCCTGTTCAAGCACGTAATGTGACACTGTTCTTGGGGAGATGTGAATAAATGTCTACTCATGCTAGATAGGGAACCAGTGACAGCCCAAAGTAAGGATACCACAAAATCCAACTTAGTGAACCAATGAGTCTTATTGGGGTTACTTATAGGAATGTGGTGGAAGGTTACTTACAGGAGCAGAAATGACTCAAAGATAGCTATGTCATCAAAAGCCCACCCCAGCATGAGTGACAGCTCTCAAAATCTAGAAACCTGGAGTACACTGCACAACCTGCAGGTAGCTCAACATGCTGGGGAATGCTGAATAGGGAGAGAGGGGAGAGCTGATCAGTGGATACTAAGTTACTATTAGAAGTAAGTTCTCTTGTGGTAAATAACTATGTAGCAATAATGTACTGTATGTTTCTGAACTTAAAAGACAGGTTTTGAATGTTTTCACCATAAAGCCATGATAAATGTTTGAGGCAGTAGATATTGTTTAATTTGATTTAAGTTTTACACAGCATATGGATATATCCAAACTTACATGGTATCCAGTTCACTGTGCAATTTTTATATGTTAAATTATTTTAAAATTTAAACATTTTATTTACTTCACTCATACTTAACTATTTTTTTTGTTTTTAGGTCCCACCAATGTAGAAGATATGAATGCACTCTTAATCAAAGATGCTGGTATGTTAGACTTAAGTAATTTAGAAATGCGTATTTATTTAATAGATAGAAGGATCTTTTTGTGGTAGATTTGGTGCTGGCAGAATTGGGATTTAAAAAATAGCTAAAAGATAAAAACTGTTTAAGGGAGATAACCAAGAACAGTAATTATCACAGTGTATGGGATGGTTAATGCTAAAGTAGGTGGTAAATACAAAGGCGTTTGGTATGGATAGGGAAAAATCTCCTGCAGAACTGTGAGAGGAAAACACAAGGGTGAGTGAACTGTACAAGGTGAGGGTGCCGGAACAGAGCTCCACAAAGACTGAGCAGTGTTAGGAAAACTTGAAGATAAGGTGAGCAATGGTAGGTAGAGTTAAAATGTGATACTGTGATTTTACTGGACTACAGGAAGACGTTAAGGGATTGATGTGCAAGATGAGACCGGAGACAAATAATCTGGGACCAGATCATAAAATTCTGCCCCTATTTAAAATCAGATATTGTTTTGTAGTTTTAAATTTTGAATCGTATTAGAATGAATTTAATTTTCAGTTTAAAAGTACTGAAGAGTATTTGGAAAAACATGGAATAAAATAATATAAGCAATGTTTCTAAAATGTTGTCTTTAGTAATCACTCTTAAAGACAGCATATTTTTCTTAATCTGTTGCATGTTTTAAAATAGGTTCAGATTCTTACATAAAGCCAAATATCTGAAATCTTTAATTTTCCTTAATTTTTTTCTTTTCAGTGTATAATGCTGTAGGATTAGCTGCTTTCGAGCTGTTTGACAGTGTTGATTTTGATCAGTGGTTTAAAAACCAACTTCTTCCAGAATTACAGGTCACTCATAATAGGCGAGTATAAAATTTTGTGTGTATTATATATGTATTTTACTCTCTTGATTTTTCTAAATTTCATTTATTCATTCGTTCATTTATTAATTAATTTATTTATATTTTTTGAGACAGGGTTTCCCTGTAGCCCCAGTTGGCTTAGAATTTACTGTGTACACCAGGCTGGCCTTAATCTCACAGAGATCTACATATCTGTACCTTGAGAGTGCTGGGATCAAAGGCATGCGCCACCATGGTCAGCCATTTTTTAAATTAAAAAAAAAAAAAAAACTAAAATATTGGGGGCTGGAGAGATGGCTCAGCAGTTAAGAACACTTGATATTCTTCCAGAGGACCAGAGTTCGCCCACATGGCAGCTAACAACTCTCTGTAACTCCTGTTCCAGGGGATCTATACCCTCTTCTGGCCTCTGCAGGCTTTGTAGGACATGAGTGCACTTACATACATGCAGGCAGTGCACTCATACACATAGAATAAAAGTAAAAAAAAATTGAAATATAAGATTTAACAAACATTATAACTAAGATATGAGCAAAAGAATTAGCTTTTTTGTCATTTTACCTTAATGTGTATCCTTTGAGAAGTATTTGATATTATATGAGGTAGTTTGGAGAAAAGAAGTAGAACTTTATGTAATGATGGGAGAAGCTAGAGTTCTAGAAAGAAGCTGTATACAAAAATAGATGACAGAGACTAGGTCTAAAGTTATAAATAGCCCAGCCAAAGTCATATCCATGAAAGGTGACTGTCATGAGAACACAAAGTAGTTCTTTGAGGAGAGAGTAGTGTTTGGAGACACCATACCAGAAAGCATCTAAATAGGTGACTGTCATGAGAACATAAAGTAGTCCTTTGAGGAGAGAGTAGTATGTGGAGACACCATACCAGAAAGCATCTAAATAGGTGACTGTCATGAGAACATAAAGTAGTCCTTTGAGGAGAGAGTAGTATGTGGAGACACCATACCAGAAAGCATCTAAATAGGTGACTGTCATGAGAACATAAAGTAGTCCTTTGAGGAGAGAGTAGTGTGTGGAGACACCATACCAGAAAGCATCTAAATAGGTGACTGTCATGAGAACATAAAGTAGTCCTTTGAGGAGAGAGTAGTGTGTGGAGACACCATACCAGAAAGCATCTAAATAGACTTGGGATTCTTACTGGAGTGCCTCATTCATTAGAGCCAGATCCATATGGCCTTTAGTAGAACTTTTGCCTAATTCTTTTGCTTTATATACAAGTATGTACTTATGTATATTAGTCTGCAGTGGTTAGAGTAGAAAGGGAAGAGATCTTTCATAGTGTTTATAAATTGTTTCTTAGTTTGAAGAAAGACTATAAAAATATTACAAGAGGATTTTTTTTTCCTTTTGGTGTAAAGGATACAGTTGAGTTAACTTCTGTATATGTAGTGCCTTGTAGCTAGCACATAGCCATGGAGATTAGTAAATATTTGCTGACTAAATTAATGAATAGAAGGCTATACATATGTAGATAATTTTATAAACATATATATAGTCATTGAATTATAGAACTGGAGGCTGAAGCAGGAGGATCTCGAGTTTGAGGCCAACAAAGAGTATAGTGTAATTGAGGCCAGCCAGAGCAGCATAATGAAACCTGGTCTCAGATAGACAACGATAGACAGACAACATCAGAGTTAGAAAGGTAGAGATGCTTTAAAAGAAGTTTTGACCAGTTAATAGTATTTTACTTTTTGTTATTTTGTCATTTATTCAACGCTTTAAAAAATGTTTTATTTGTTTATTAAGCTTTTACAATTTTATTAGAATTTTAAAGAAAAATCCTTGGTTGGGGGGGGGCGAGCAGGCAAGCTGGTAATCTTGGCAGTTGCCTTGAAGAGGAGAATGGAGGGGGAGAAGGAAGGAAAGCCATGATGTGTATGAGTTTAGTACCTGCTTGTATTTAAGTGCACCTGTTCATGCAATGCCCCTGGGGGTCAGAAGAGGGTGTTGGACTGTGAAAAATCCCCATTGGGTGACATGCCAGATCTAATTACCTTTAAACTATGCAGACTGTTTAGTTTCAGGCCTTTACTCTCTAGGACAGTGGTTTTCCTCATATGACTGCTAAGTTCTTTGAAATGTGCTTAACTGCTACTGAGGTAATGAGTTTTTGATTTTAGTTCATTTAAATTTAAAAACTAAAGCTGTGTACTGATTGAATGAATGGTGATATTTGGAGGAATATAGTCTCCCTCTCCCCCTTCCCCCTCTCCCTCCCCCCTCCCTCTCCCTCTCCTGCAAGCATCTCCCCGGCCTGGAACTCCTTATGTAGACCAGGCTGACCTTGAACTCACAGAGATCCTCCTGCCTCTTGAGTGCTGGGACTAAAGGTGTGTGCCACCACTCCTGGCACATGTGAGGCATTCTTTGAGTACATGTTAAATGATAATATTTTGAGTGTATTTAGAGAAATAGAAATGCTATTAAAATATCAACTTTTTTTCCTAATGCAGATACTAAGAAATTTTAAATTATATATTTGACCTCAATCATATTTTTATTAGACTGCTGATCTAGATCAGTGTTTCTCAAGCTTTAATGTACATTTGATTCACTTGGTAACTAATCTTGTTAAAATGCGCATCCTGGTGTATTAAGTCTCTTACCAGCAATGCTCTCATAGCCCCATAACGATGCTGCTAGTTTAGGTACAGTACATTGGAGAAGTGACTTTAAGCTTAAGTTCTCGTGGATGTGGCTGTCACCTTGGAATTTGACTTTTTTGAGTTTCATTTTCTTGAGAGTGGAACTGGACATGGAAGTCTCTTAAGGTTTCATTCTAAAAGTTGATAGTTTCTTCACTTCACATGCACACATCTGTTGTTTCCGCTTCTATGACTTTGTTCAAATAACTCCTATTCCTTGAAATGGCATTTCCCCACTTTCATGTCCCTTTCCTCACACTTTTTCTGAAATCCTAGTATACTGCTTACTAGTATAGCACTTACTAATTGAGGCCAAAGAAAGTTTGCAAACATTTTTTCAGACATTAGTTAACATTTTCCTATGTGCTTGATCATCTTTTAAGATTGCAGAAATTGCAATAATTTTGTGTATTCATTAGCTTGTTTCATTTATACTCTGAAATAAATATCATTTTGTCACCAAAAAGTTATATCAAGAAGCTTCTTTGTATTGGATTTCTTATACAGAAATGTTTTAAGCTTGTGAGTTTCCTTTTTACCTAAGAAAAATCTTGGGAAACTTCATTACTTCTAGTAAAAACAAGCCAGAGAAATATATGTATGTATTTGTAAATCAAATGATTTACAATTTTTAAAATGCAAGTCATAATTTTTGTTAACTGAGTCACATACTATAATTTCATACATCTTTCAGCATCATTTGGCTTAAATCAATAATCTTATACAAGTATTATTCATATAAATAAAAAGATCTTTCACAGTGATCTGAAAATAATATTTCTGGAAATAACAGAATAGGAATAGAAACTGAATATATGAGTTTATTATTTTGTTATGAAGACCTTTCCATCTGTAGAAGTTAGAGCATTAGCATTGTTTGTATTTGCTTGAGGAACATAAATGTATATACTTTGCTATGCCACAGGTGTGTGTGTGTGTTGCTTTGTTTTTGTGAGGCTGAGAATCAAACCCAGCATCTTAAGCATGTTAGATAAGTGCTTTCTATGGAGCTGTACCCCAGTCCCCCCCCCCCTTTTTTTTTTAAAGAAAAGTTTTTGGGCTGGAGAGATGGCTCAGTGATTAAGAGCACTGACTACTCTTGCAGAGAACCCAGGTTCTATTCCCAGCACCCACATGGTGGCTACAAACCGTTCTTAACTCCAGTTCCAGGGGAATCCGAAGCCCTCTTCTGACCGCGGCATTGCATGACACGGGTACACTCACATACATGCAGGCAACACACTCATACACATAAAAAAAAATAAAAATTAAAAAAACTGTTTTTTTGAGACATTCTCCCTGTAGCCCCAACTAACCTGGAACTTGCATTGTTTATCAGGCTAGCCTCAATCTTACAGAGATCTGCCTGCCTCTGGCTCTTAGTGCTAAGCTCAAAGGCTTACGCCACCAAGGCTGGTTTAGCCCTTGTTTTTTGAGATACGGTGTTGCCTCCTAGCTCAGGGAGTCCTTGAGTATACTCTGCCTCAGCTTGCCAAATGCTAGGATTATTGGCTATTACAATTCATTAATGCAAAGGAATCAGGGGACATCATATATGTACCTAAGAGTTTTTTTTTTATTTTGACCAGGACTTTGTACTGTGTAAGTTTTTATTTACTTAGACCTTTCTTTCGTACTGTGGTACATTTAGGGGTTGATTTTAAATACTGAATATTCTGTGAAGCAGACCTCTTAAAATACTGAACATTTTAATTTACTGTCCCCCCGCCTCCCCAGGTATAAGCCATTGCGACGCAGAGTGATTTGGCTCATTGGTCAGTGGATTTCTGTGAAATTCAAGTCTGACTTGAGACCCATGCTGTATGAAGCAATCTGTAACTTGCTTCAAGATCAAGATTTAGTGGTATGTCAACTTCAGCATGTCAAGACCTCAGAACCTCCTCTAAAATATTCAGAATTCTTGGTTTGTTTTTTTTTTTTTTTTTTTTGGTCTTTTTGAGACAGGGTCTCTCTGTAGCCCCAGCTAGCCTGGAACTCACAGATATCAGAGTGCTGGGACTAAAGGCTTGCGTTACCTTACCCAGCCAATTCTTGCTTTCCTAAAAGTGTTTGATGAACTAGGTAGTATTACAGGTGAAGCAAATGGTTCACCTAAGGAGTGGTAACCTCCTGGCCAAGCAATAAGTTTTAGATACTGTTTTACAGAATAGAAGGTAGAATTCAGTAACTTTATTTGATTTGTAAGCTAAAACTGTTATTAGCTTATGCCAAGTGGGCTGATAAAGTTAGAGGAAAACTTGAGATAATAGGGATATGATATGGTATTTACATTCTGGATTCTTATGCATACCCAGACAGTGAACTGTACACACACACACACACACACACACACACACACACACACACACACACACACACTGTAAATATAATTTGCAGAATCTGGAGTTGTATATGGGCTTTAGCAGACCTCAGATCATTTTTCAGGCATTTGAAAGATTTCTTGTAATTGAGGTCAGATATCAGATGGGTCTTGAACTCTTCACCCCTTTTGACACTGTCACCCTTCACTTGTATAACTCCAGCTCCTGCAGGCCCACCCATTTTCCTGATTTGCTTCTCTTTTCCCTGGTATCTCCTGCTGCTACTTTCCTTCAGTCTGGAGCTCTCTACTTACCTAGTGACAAGTAAATTTTCTTCCTGGATGCACCTGTTGCATTAAAACTACTTAAGAAATTTCAGAAAACTGGAAAGCATAAGAATAAACTATATTTTTTCTTTTTGTCACTTACTAGAAACTCAGGATAATATCCCTTTACTTCCACTTGGTAATATGCTCTATGACCTAATATCAACCAAAAGAGTAGAGAAAGTGATTTGGAATATTTTTTCTTTTTGTTATTAAGTTGTTCTAAGATGACTAAAAACTCATAGTGCACTTTATTTTTAGGTCCGAATTGAAACAGCTACGACTCTGAAGTTAAATATCCTTTAAAAAATTTAAAAATACACCATTGCAAAGAACTTTAACTTTTTTGTTGTTGTTTTGAGAAGTGTCATGTAGCCCAGCATGGTCTAGAACATGCTACATAGCCATGGCTAACCTTCAACTTCTGGTCCTCCAGCCTACATCTCTTAAGTGTTGGGATTATAAGCCTGTATTGTCACACCTGGCTTTAAGAAGTTTAACATTTTAAAATTGTTATTTTGTGAAATTAATTCATAGGATAGTTAAAATACAGTTTTTCACTAATTTATTGTGCGTATATTTTTATCTTGATAAATTTATGCATTCTCAGTATTCCTTAACTACTTTTCACCTGTTGATGATTTTGAATTTAGAACAGATCAGTTCTTACCGGTAAGAATGTTGACTTCTATGTTTTCTATGGATTTCTACTTCTTACTTCTGTGTTTTGAGTATAAATGTTGTTTTATACCTGGAATTCATGTGCTACTTATTTTTTGATCTCTTAAAATGTACGTTTATATTTATTTGTGTATTTGTGTGAATATGCATGTGCCATGGTGTGTGTATAGAGGTCAGAAGACAACTTGAGGTAGTTGGTTCTTTGCTTCCATTGTGTGGGTGCAGGGATCAAACTTCAGGTTACGCTTGGCAGCAAGTGTCCCCCTTTTTATAGATTTTCATGTTTATTCTCCATTTTTACCCCTTACAATTTATCAGGTATCTAGTATTTTCTTTTGTTTTTATTTGTGGGGTTTTGTGTGTGTGTGTGTGTGTGTGTGTGTGTGTGTGTGTGTGTGTGTGTGTGTTTGCTTGTGTTTCTGTTTTGAGACAGACTCTCTGTAACCCCAGATGATCTGGAACTCAATATGTAGACTGGGCTGACCTCACTTGATCTCACAGAGCTCTGCTTGCCTCTACCTCCTGAGTGTTGGGATTAAAGGCATGTACCACCACTCCAACTATGTCTAATATTTGTATTCTATGCTTGTTTCTTTTATTCCTTACATTATTTATCTATATATTATTATGTGTATACATCTCCATCCTTTTCTGGATCGCACATTACTGGAACACTAGAATACCAATCATGCTTATCTTTTTCACCCTCTCCTCAACTCTGTCACCTAGCGTGATGGCTTTTGCATAGCTGGTATCAGTAAGGATTTGATAAGGACTAAGTGAGAAGAAAGTTATATGATAAATGGCTATATATACTTCTAAGGCTGTCATAGATGGGGAATTGTTGAGTAGTGATTTGATTGCTTTTTGTTGTTACTGCTGCTGTTTTGTTTTATGACTGGCTCTCTCTCTTTCTAGCTCAGTCTGGCCTTGAACTTGTCTCTGTTTTCCTGCTTCTGCCTCAGAAATGCTGGGATTAAAGATGTGAGCCATCACATCTGGAAAGCAGTGATTTTTATTTATGAAAATAGTCATTGGATGGGCTGGAGAGATGGCTCAGCGGTTAAGAACACGGGTTTTTCTTGCAGAAGACCCGGGTTTGAATCCTAACACCCATATGGCAGCTAACAACTGTCCGTAACTCCAGTCCCAGGGGATCCAATGACCTCTTCTGATCTCTGTGGGCATTGCACAACATGAGTGCACTTACCTACATGCAGGCAATACATGAATGAATACACATAAAATAAAAATAAATTAAAAAAAACTAGTCATTGGGTATTTTTAAATGAAAGAAATGTTTTATAAATTTGTCTGAAAATTAGCTAAATTATATAAAAAACAAAACATAACAAAGAATATTAAAAAATAAACCAAATACCTGATTGAGCAAATATTTTATGAAAAATCCCATGATTTGTCAATTCCCAATATAATTTTTATAATGTAGGAGTTACAAACCAGGCATGTGATATTTTTCTTTTCCTAATAAACATTCTTAGAATGATAAGAGTATATCTACAAAAATTTATATCTCTTTTCATCATCTGTGAAGGGCCACTTGAGTTCGTTGTCCTGTTTAACATAGCAGTTGATATTCTTTTTACTTTAGTTCATAGGTCTTTCATACTGTTACTTGCAACAGCTGGAAGTATAGGAACAGTGCACATTAACAGCTTGGTTGACAAAATTCCAACATACATGGTTTAGATAGTCTTAAGGATTTCAGTTTGTAGATGATTAAGATTCTGAAGTGTACACATTTAGCAGTAATAAAGAAAAAATAGTACCAATTGGTATCTTGTTTATGTATTGCTAGGGTTTTGCATTTCTGTTTGTCTGTTGCTCTGACATTATGGTTTATTTTCATTTGTGTGTGTGTTGAAGTCTTTACATTTCTGAACTTTTTCTTTTGCCTGCAGTATTTGGAGACCATGTTCACACTACTTTTTCAGTTATTGCAGCAAGTTACAGAATGTGATACGAAGATGCACGTTTTGCATGTTCTTTCCTGTGTGATTGAAAGAGTCAATGTACAGGTAATTTTGTTGTGAAACATAAAAATAAATGCAGATGAATAGAGTTTGTATAGAATTGTTAATATCGTTATATTTATAAAAGTTTGAAGCATCCTTAAAATGCCTACAATATATAGCTTATCATTTTATTTATCTTATTTAAGGTGGACATTTTTGCTTGAATTTATAAAAGAAAAATGACTAAGAAAAGCCAGTTATGGTGTGTGCCTGTAATCCTAATGCTTGGAAGGCTGATGCAGGAGACCCACACTGGGAGTTCCATGCCAGGCTGGCCTATATAATGTGACCCTGTCTAAAAAAAGCAAAAATGAAAAAGAATAAGAAAAAATTAAAATTTGGGGGTGGGAGAGATGACTCAGCTGTTAAGAGCACTGACTGCTCTTTCAGAAGACCTGCGTTTGAATCCCAGCATCCATATCTTGGCTAACAACTATCTGTAACTCCAGTTTGAGGGCATCTGATGCCCTCTTCTGTCCTTTGTGGGCACTGTATAACAAGGGGATACAAACATACATGTGGGCATAAAACTCATACACATAAAGTGAAAATTAAATTAAAAAAGAAAATTAAAAATTTAAATATTAAAAATTATATCAATGGTGTGGAAATGCTTAGAAAGTAGAAATTTTCAAATTTCAGAAGATTTGGTTTATGCTTAATTTCAAAATTTAGAGTACAAAATGTATCTTAGTGTATGTAAGTTCTCTTGAGAATTTGTTGTTTTACTCCATTTATTTAAAAAATATTTACACAGATTAGATATATCAGTTTGCTTGTTTATTGATTTTCTGTGTGTTCACATGTGTGCTGAGTTTGGAGATTAGAAGACAACTTTTGGGATTAGGTTCTCTCCTTTCAAAAACCTTGTTTTGAGGCAGAATCTCTTGTTTGTGCCACTTCTGGCCAGTTCTCCTATTTCTGTCTCCCATCTTGACACAGGAGCGATGGGATTACAGATGTTCAGCGGTGCATCCAGCTTTTTACAGGGGTTCCTGAGGGGATTGAATTTAGGTCATTAGACTGTTTGGCAAGTGCTTTCACCTACTGAGCCATCTCCCCGGCTTCCCTACCCCCAGTTTTTTTTTTTTTTTAAAGACAGGGCCTTCCTGTAGTCCCAGCTAGCCTTGCATTCTCTTTGTAGACCAGGCTGGCCTCCATCTCAAAGAGATCGTCTGGCTCTGCTTGTGTCTCTCTAGTGCTGGGATTAAAGGCACGTGTCACCACTCCTGGTTTCCCCAGCCCTATTTTTACTTAAAAAATTTTTCTTTTAGCTGGGTATGGTGGCGCAGGACTTTGATCCCAACTCTGGAGGCAGAGGCAGGTAGATCTCTGTGAGTTCGAGGCCAGTCTGGTTTACTTAGTGAGTTAAAGGCCAGCTGGGGATACAGGGAGACCCTGTCTCCAAAAAAAAAAAAAAAACCAAAACTTTAAAAAAAAATTATATTCATAGTTAGTTTAATATTAAAATGATGCATACAATTCTTAACAATGAAATTATTTAGCTTTCCTTGTCACTGCCTGATTTTTAAGAAAAATCAATATTCTAGGAAACTATGGTATAATTACCCCCATGGCCTTTAATATCCTACCACCATGTTATATACCTTTATATCCTTTCATATCCTACCACTTTATGTCTCTTTTTTCCCCTTCTTATTTGGAGACTATTTTTATTAGATTTTATAATCAAACCTACATAATACAGGGTATTAACTTTAAACAGATGTGAAAATTTAACATTTCTAGACCAATATGGTTATTAGTTTCTATATAATGCCAACTCAACAAAATAGACTAGGGTATTCTTTTTGTGAAGATGGCAGCACAGCCAGAGTTGCCAAAACTCAAATATACATGTATATATGTATTCATGTAAAAGTCCAATAATAGTGGTATATTATACATGAGTCACAGCAATAGCTTTTCCAGGTGCTGCAGTCATCTGAGCTAAATGTAGGAGACATCCAACATAGTCTGCTAAAAATAAAAACCCTGGAAAGGAGCAGAGTTCTGTTACTGTTGTGCTGCCTGGTAACATTGTAAAGTAATATAAAAACAACTCTGACAAAGCATGGTTACTACTATGCCAAGATGGGTCTTCATAGCAGGAATCACTAGAATAGAAATATTATGTATATGATTTGCTCATGAAATTTGTTAAGTGGTATTTGAATACTTGCATCATCAGAGACAATGCATTCAAAGTGACATGATTTCCTCTGATTTATAGATATATAAGTTAAAATGGTTTTTGTTTTTTGTGACTAGGAATTCAACAGGATAGGTTTTCTTTTCTGAAGCAGGGTCTCACCCAGGTATTCTTGGGTGGCCTTGAACTTGCTATGAAGTCAAAAATCACCTTGAAGTTCTGAGCCTCCTGTCTCTACTTCTCAAGTGCTAGGCTTAAGCTTGTGCCACCATACCCAATTTATGGGGTGCTGGGGAGCAAACTGAGGGATTTATACTTGTGGAGCAAGCACTCTCTCAAGTGAGCTATATTACCAGCACCAGCCTTCAGACTAGGTTTTCAAGTTAAAGTTCAAATACTGGTGATGTATTGCCCAGTAGCTTATATTGCATTATGAGACTCTGGGTTCAATTGCCAGTACCAAGAGGGCAGGTATCTAAAGCATTGATTTTTGCCATTCTTTACAAATCCTCTTTAGGCTAAGTGTGGTCACCCCCCCCCCAAAAAAAAACCCCAAAACAATAAAAGCTAGGGAATGTGTTCAGCTTTTCTTTGAAATTGGTTTTCCCTCGTGACACTGCTTCCTACCACCTGTAGAGTCACAGATCATTTCAACTTATAAAACTGAGTTATACCAGGTAAAATAAGCTTGGACAGGCAATTCCCAGGGACTGCTCCTGTGAAAACGCCACAGTAGAATTACCTTATGTTTTCATGGATGAGATTTTCGTTGTGACGTTGGAGAATTCTTTTCATGAAATGTGACTTTGTAATGATTGTTAGGCTCTAATAGAGAATTTTTCATCTTTTAAATTTTTCAAGATAAAACAATAGAAACGTTTAAATAGAAGCCTATACAATTCATAAAAAGGATGAATGTGGACTGGGCATGGTGGCTTTAATCCCAGCACTGGGGAGGTCATGGAGGCAGAGGCAGGCTAATCTCTGTGAGTTCCAAGCCAACTTAGTCTGCATAGTGAATTCCAGCCTAGCCAGAGCTACACAGTGAGACCCTGTCTCAAAGACAAAACAAAGATAAGGACAGAATATAGTAAATTGCAAGGGATACATAGTGAGACCTTGTCTAAGAAAAAAAAGGTGATGCTAAAATGCAACTTTACAAGACTTGTAACCAGCATGCTAATATTATATTAAAAAAGTATTTTTATATTTCTACTTGACCAAGTCTCTTGGGGCATTTCTCTGAATAAATATTTTGAAGTACTAAGGTGGCTATAAATGATAAAAAGGCCACTAAAGTAAGTACTATCTGCAGGGTTTTGAACCAGTTGGAATAATGTGGTAAGATGAAAAGTCCCTAAATCTATTATTGCTGTGACTGTGGCTTCACTGAGTCTTTCAGAAAAGAGGATGGCTAACCATGAAAACAAAACAGAACCTATACTACTAGCTAGGCTAAGATAGTCTGGTTTGGCTGGAATGCTTTTTTGGCAGAGAAAAGCTCCATTTGACCCTTTCCAAGAAAGCTAGGAAACTGGCTCCATAAGCTGTCTGTGTAAAAGCTAATATGGAAATAAGTCTTTGTTATGATCATGAACAGTGGTGGAGCGATAAAGGGGATTAGCCCCACCAGAGTTATATGAAATGCTGGCTTTGGACTCTCAGGCAGGTAAATAATGGTTTTTGGTGGCCTGTCAGGAAGGACTGCTTGCTTCTGCTGCTGCTTAATGTTTCATGGTGATGCACAATAGCATTGCATGTTCCTCATACACACTTGAAATGATGGGGGAAAACCAAGTCCTTGAATACAAAGGGGAAAAGTTCTTTTGAGGAAATGTCTTGGGAGAAAATGTATCTATTCTGCTGGTTCTGATTCTCATTCTAAAAAGAGTACTTTAGCATCTTTGAAGATGTTCTGGAAAAGTCTCTGAATCAAGTTAAGCACATTGGTCTCTACTAGACAGTCCTGTTGAGGAAGACGCAGTTCTGATTAATGTATTTATATAGCTAAGTGGAGGGGTGGAATCTGAAGATGTTGTTGCCAGCATCGCACAGTGAAAAACTTGAACCATAAGATCAGCCAGGAACAGAGAAACGACTGACTTTATATATCTTCGAAAAGCATAGAAATATCAGTTAGGTTTTAGGAAAGATAACTGCTTTTGGAGTTTACAGACTTGGAGTCTACTCTTCCATTTTCTATTTGTGAATTCTGATGCCTGGGGCTTGCTTATTAGTTCCAGTACTGTTGATGAGAAAGCTGCCAGCTACTGAGGGGCTGATTATGTGAGTGGCATTCTTCTGTGACAAGTATTCCACATATATTTCTCATTTAATTTTGTACACATCCTGGGGTGAGTGTT